ACAGCAAGACTGGGGACATCGCTGGTCGAGAGACCCGGGGGTGAAGGTTGAGCTGATGCGCCGCGTACCGAACCGCAAACGGCCACAGAAAATGGAGGGCAGCCGCATGCATCATGGACGTACGAGCGATATCCATGACCATGCCAATGCGGCGCTCAGCAATCCCATTTTGTTGTGGAGAGTCCGGAAGCGTGAAGGTCTGGCGGATCCCCCGTGCACGACAGTAGTCTCGCAGAAGGCGAGAGGAGAACTCCGCACCTCGGTCAGAGTGCAGACGCAGAACAGGAAAGTCCGAGCCGAAGCTCCTCCTGAGCTGGAGACGAGCCTCGCGGATCCAGCGATCAGCACCTCAGTGACAGCACCCTTGGTGCGCAAGGGGAAGACTGTGGTGTAACGCGAGTAGTCGTCAACCACCAACAGGAAGTAGCGCTCGTGACCCTGCCCACGGACGGGGGCCGGGCCCCACACGTCCATGTGAAGTGTCTGCAGAGGAGCCTCCGTCGGGGGAAACTGGGAGGAGTGAGGAGCAGCCCAAAGGCGCCCCTCGACACAGGGGACACAGGAAGGTCCTGGTCCCGAAGGAAGGGGAGGGAGAGACTGGGGAAGACCAGAGACAAGGACACGGGAAGCCATGCCCCGAAGACGGGGCAAGGAGGGGTGGCCTAGACGGTGGTGCCACAGGAGAGTCTTGTGAGACAGGAGGCGACACGAACAGGGGGCAGACTCAGGGCCAGACCGGGACGCAGCAGCAAACACCTGACCTGACGCAGCTACCTGACCAGACGCAGGGACAGGAGGAGACTCAGTGGTCAGGGTGTAGAGGCTCGACCCCGGCCGACGAGAGAACGTGGCCAGGTGCCGGCCTGTGCGTGCGTCCGTGCAGTGGGTCACCCGCTGATTCGCAGGAGTGAACTGGTGGACCCCCACATCCTGCAGGTCCGCACCACTCACCAAGTTCGTCGAGAACGAGGGAAGGTACAGATCAGACAGGGTGCCCGAGGGGGCAGCCGGACACGGGAGGACAGTGGAAAAGTGAGAGAGGACAGGACCCCCAGAGGGGTCAGCCAGGGAGACTGCAACCAGCCGACCAAGCGGCGTGAGTGTGGTGCGGTCTCGAAAGAAGGAGCGAGAAGCTCCAGAGTCAAGTGTGAAAGTGAGGGAGGCCGAAGCCGACGCATTACCTGAGAGCGCAGCCTCACCAGTACCTGAGAGCGCAGACGCACTGGCACCTAGAGCAGCAGTCTCACAAGCACCTAGCGCAGCAGTACCAATGCCCGGGTCGGGCGGGAAACACCGGTAACAGTCACCCTCCTCACTAATAGTCACAGCATACATAGCAGCAAGGATAGTATCAAAGTCAAGATCAAATATTGCTACACCAGCCCTAGACAGCTCTCCCCAGCGGGGGATCTCACTAGCCTCGGGGAACTGCTGACGCCAAGCGTCCGTCAGGCGGCCAAAGCAGCGCTGGGTGGGGTGGGCACCCCCACACTGCTCACCCGCGCGGTCGCCGGAACGAAGGACGTAGGTGCACGGACCAGTACCCCCACCCCGCTGACGCTGCGTGTACCACTCACGGAGCTGCTGGGGCGGAGGGATGTCCCGCGAACGCTGCTGCTGCTGCTGCTGGCGCTGACCACTACCAGAGCCGCTCCGCTGCGGGGTACCACCCCGACCAGCTCCACCCCCTCCGCCACCACCGCCTCCTCTTCCGCCTCCTCCGCCGCCTCCACCTCCACCGCTGCCGCCACCACCGCCGCCTCCTCCGCCGCTGCCACCACCACCACCACCCCCGCCACCACTCCCGCCGCCACCCCCACTCCCTCCGCCGCCTCCACCGCCACCTCCACCGCCCCCTCCAGCTCCACCCGCGCCCTTGCCCCCCTTGCCCTTGCCAGAGCGGCGTCTCCCACTAGGGGCAGACGCCGCGCTGACCGACTCAAGACCAAGCAGGTCGGCAGCAGCAGCAAAGGCAACAGAGGGCAGCAGGGGGGAAGGAGAGCACCCCTCAAAGATGGGGGTGCGAGGGTCACCCCGAGAAGCTCCTACAGCGACGATGCTCTTCTCCGCCGCTAGGAGGGCCTTCTCGAGGAGGTCGACAGTGAGGGTGGTGGGACAGACTGAGAGAAAGTGGTCCCTGACTACGCGAAGAGAGTCAGGGAGGCGAGCGACAACGTAGTAGAGAGTGATGTACATGGGGGGGGGGTTCTTGGCGCAGAACTCAGCAGGAAGGGCGGCGCGGTAGCGGGTGTCACTAGTGCGGAGGTGCGTAATGAGGTCAGCGACAGTGGGAAAGGCAGTGAGGTCAGGAAAGAGGTAGGGAAGCATGAGACGGCTCAGTGCAGCAGTGGCAGGGGAAGAGTAGCGCCAACTACAGCGTCGTACAAGGTCTGAGCACTCTTGTACTGGCTAAAGTGCGCGCGCTCAGTGGTAGGGAGGTGGCGACGCACAGCAAGACGTGCAGCAGCATCGCGGGTGGCCCACTGAGAGCGAACAGTGGGGTCAGCATCAGCAGCAGGGGCAGGCGAGGCGCCAGAGGTGAGGTCAAAGAGAGAAAGACCGTCTGCCCTATCGCACTGTAAGAACAGCTGGAGGTCGTCGACCCAGACCTCAAAGTCTATGGCTCGACCCTCAGCGTCAAAAGCGAGGACACTAGGGGTAGCCATAGCGACAGACTAGCAGTGCAAGCAGTGGGGAAGGGCACGCAGTAGCAGTGGGGCAGTGCCGTGCTCACCAGAAAAGGGCAGGTCGGGCGGTCCGGTTCGTGGGCGGCTCGGCTGCTGTGGGGCGGCTCGGCAGCTCCTGGGCGGCTCGGCGGCTGCGGGGCGGCTCGGCAGCTCCCAGGCGGCTCGGCTGCTGCTGGGCGGCTCGGCTGCTGCTGGGCGGCTCGGCTGCTGCTGGGCGGCTCGGTTGCTGCTGGGCGGCTCGGCAACGGGGCGGCTCAGCTGCTGCAGTGCTGGGGCGGCGGGGCCGCGAGATCAGGGACGGCGGGGCCGTGGACGCTGGGGCGGCGGGGCCGCGAGATCAGGGGCGGCGGGGCCGTGGGCGCTGGGGCGGCGGGGCCGCTAGATCAGGGGCAGCGGGGCCGCTGGAGCAGGGGCGGCAGGGCCGCGAGAGTAGGTGGCGGCGGGGCCGCGAGAGAAGGGGCGACGGGGCCGCTTGAGCAGGGGCCGCGGGGCCGCGACAGCAGTGGCGACGGGGCCGCGCGAGCAGGGGCAGCGGGGCCGCGACAGCAGGGGCGGCGGGGCCGCGTGATCAGGGGCGACGGGGCCGCGATGTGAGGGCGGATGGGCCGCTAGGGGAGGGAGGGCCCGAGGCGCGACTCGGGATGGGCGCGCTCCGGGCAGTAAAAAAAAAAAAAAAATCGAACTAGTGGTGGGCCCTAGGTGCAGTTCCCACAGGGGAACCTGCTCGATACCATGAGAAAGTTTGAACGAGAATGAAAATGAACTATGAGCGAAGTGAGTACAAATAGCAAACCCTAATTGGGTTGTACCCCCTATGGGATACCCCACTATAGCCTACACAACAGCATAAGCTATATATATTATGACACCTAGCTCGGTGCTATAACTATAATAAAATATAGGAAAGCACCTAGCCTAGGAAATCAAGCAATTCATGCATGCATATGATTATCCTATGCTAGAAATAGCATGATAAAGTAGAGGCAAGCAAGCATAGCTGGCATAAGCCGTCGTACTCTCACAGCACTCACCATCTCAGCACTCACCCTCCCATCACCGCACTCACCATCTCAGCACTCACCCTCCCATCACCGCACTCACCATCTCAGCACTCACCCTCCCATCACCGCACTCACCATCTCAGCACCTCCTCTCACAGAACCTACCTTTTGCATAGCCGTTTGTACGCCTTGGTCGGTGGCCACGTTGCTGATGGAGTCAAGCTTCATCTCGTGGTGCTTCATGATCTGCGTGTCCACTTTCCGCTTATTCGATCTCCTGTAGATTTGCTTCAGCAGGGTGCTATGCAGGTGTTCGAAGAGGTTGGTGCTGTACTCTTGCACATTCCCAGCTCGTCAAATTCCAGGGATGAAATGAGTCATCAAGTGTGTTTTGATATGGTTCCACTTTGATTTCTGCTCGGGGAAGGCAGTCGTGAGTAGTTTCACCAGCCTGGGATGGGTGGGAGCATGAATAAATGAAGGAGTATATGGATAAGCGTTCAATGTGTTAGGGATGGAATCGCTAGGGGAGTTAGATGGTTTAGGTTGTATCGTTTGGTGAGGTACCTTGTTGATTTGGCTTGTAGTTCGGAAAGACTTCTCTCGGTGTGAGAGGCGGCGTTGCAGCAGAGATACCAGTCAAGGTATGCTCTGATGGCCTCCAGCTAGGGCGAGCCGACAACGTCAGCCACCAAAAAGATCAACACCTGGATGCATGCAGCATGGTGAGTAGGAAAGGTGAGAGAAAAGATTGAAGGATCTTCTTCCCATGAATGACTTCAAGCGAGTTTACAGACGAGCTTGACAACAGACCGACACCTCACTACATTTGCATGAACCAACATAGCGGTGCCCTCTCCACCAGCCCATCTTCTCTCCCCTTCCTCTTCCGTCCCTGCCCAGCTCGCCCCACTCTTCCCACCCTCCCCTTCCTCTTCCGTCCCTGCCCAGCTCGCCCCACTCTTCCCACCCTCCATGGTTTAGGCCTCAAAGCATCATACCTGCATGACCAATCGATGTTCAAAAGCTGCGACTTGTGACCCGGTTTTGAAGTATTCGCTCTTCGGAAAACGCAAAGAGTTGATCCGTGTTTTCAGGGTGAGCTGTAGAAGACGCCTACGTATGGTGGGATGGAAAGATTTCGGATATTGGGGGCGGCAGATCAGGATGGAATAAAGTTGAGCTGACACACTACCATGTGCTCACAAATGTGAGCTTGACATGCCAACATTGTAACCATGGTTTATTGAATAGAGCATCGTGCATGTCCAGGCGGGTGGTCCAAGGGGCACTCACAAATCCAGAATTTTCATCATCGTTGGGTGTTGGGCGCGGATGCATTGCACGATGTGGTCCAGCATCCCCAGGTCTGCCTGGTGCATTGCACGATGTGGTCCAGCATCCCCAGGTCTGCCTGGTGCATTGCACGATGTGGTCCAGCATCCCCAGGTCTGCCTGGTGCATTGCACGATGTGGTCCAGCATCCCCAGGTCTGCCTGGTGCATTGCACGATGTGGTCCAGCATCCCCAGGTCTGCCTGGTGCATTGCACGATGTGGTCCAGCATCCCCAGGTCTGCCTGGTGCATTGCACAATGTGGTCCAGCATCCCCAGGTCTGCCTGGTGCATTGCACGATGTGGTCCAGCATCCCCAGGTCTTCCTGGTGCATTGCACGATGTGGTCCAGCATCCCCAGGTCTGCCTGGTGCATGATGTCCGCCATGACAGCTAGGATTGGATTTCCCCACGGCAATGAACCAACCTGCCACTTCCATAAAGCACACTGTGCAGGTGGTACAGCGCAGCAGGGAATGCGATGGTTAGGGAAACACACGACACCAATAGACACCAGAGGTTGCTGTGTCTATGAGCCTATTGGGCGACTCCAGCTGGCATGGGATCAAATACTTACGTTGATGTCGAACGTTGAGTACAGCTTCAGCGGATTGTCATCCGCTCCGGCAGGGACTCCAACTGCCTCGTCTCTAACCCACTGCTGTTGTGCGGGTGTGCGAACGTTGTTGGGTAGCTCCATAGATGACAGGCTTTCCTGTGGTGGGCGATGGAATTTTTAGCATAAAGGGGACGAGCAAGAGAGACCGTTAGACACACACATATACAGAGATGAAATGTTCACAGCCAAGATTGCGGATGGGGCATGATTATATGCCCGGTCGTCATCGCAGAGGGTTCAAGGCTTGCACTCCTGATCCCAGCACTTCCCAGCCCTACTTCTCCCCACCACAGCACCTCCCTCCCTCCCCATCCCAGCACTCACCATCCCAGCACTCACCATCCCAGCACTCACCATCCCAGCACTCACCATCCCAGCACTAACCATCCCATCACTCACCATCCCAGCACTCACCATCCCAGCACTCACCATCCGGGCACTCACCATCCCCGCACTAACCATCCCATCCCTCACCATCCCAGCACTCACCATCCCAGCCCTAACCATCCCATCACTCACCATACTATCACTCAGCATCCGAGCACTCACCGTCCCAGCACCCACCATCCCAGCACTCACCATCCCATCACTCACCATACTATCACTCACCATCCCCATCCCAGCACCTCCCATCCCAGCACATCCCCATCCAGAGTGTACATGTTGACGTACCCTGTCGACATAGCAGAGGCTGCACGACTTCATGCAGCCCTGGCCAGATTTGGTGCATGTCAGTTTCCCGGACTCGGGATTGTCACAAGCCCAAGCGTAAAGCAAAGGAACGACCCATCGCTCGATGCCTTCTGAGTCCAGCAGCATGACACCACTGCACAGTTTTCGGGCAGCCATGACACAGGGTGAAAACACATGCAGGTTAACAATATTCGTTACTTCCAAGTGTTGCACTCCTTTTATGGGGCATGACTCACCAAATAGATAAAGTTTCGATAAACACCAGCATTTGCACCACTCACTTGTCTTTAAGGCGGAGAAGTGGCTCAAGTAGCTTAGCAATACACGCGTTGTAGAGCTCCACCTTCAAGTGCGACGGCATATTCGAGGGTGGGATGGGTAACAGCGCCAGCAGGGAGTGCCCAAGCCGCCCCCAGCGTTTTGGGAATGCAATATTCCCCAGTGTCATCATGACCGGGTGCGCCTTCTTCCTTCCGTTGTTGCTCAAGTGCGTGACATCACTGTACAGTATCAGCGCCGCAACAATCTTGTCCATGCCAATGAATTCCTGCACATAACGCAAAGAATGGATGGATTGGGTCGAGGGGAAAGGCAATGTCTCTGGGCGGTAAACATTGCTGACTTGAAAAGGGCACACCAGCTGAAAGCCGGGACCATGCATGGTGAGTGGTAGGTTTGGAACATATGCAAGGTGCGAGTGATGTGAGGGGAGTGTAAACTACCCATCACCTTGCACTCACAATCTCTGCACCTCCCGTCCCATCACTCACAATCTCTGCACCTCCCCTCTCATCACTCACCATCTCTCGCAACTGCAAATAGCTATCAATAGCACTCACCTGTGCTTCTTGCCACCATGTGCCAGTTTCTGCAGTGGAATATGCCCGATGCCCACTCTCGGTGTCCTTGTCTCTCCTCGGTCCCATTCTGAAGCCAGGCACATTGTGCTTGTGCCGAAACATATCCGCCAGGGCCTGCAATATCATATACAGCACGTACACAGGCCGGTTAGCACCCTACACAGTATGAGAGTGACGCATGATGCCCAAAGGACACACTGTCAAGCCAATGCCCTTCAGTTTCATCTCGGGTACCCGAAACTACGTCAGCAAACTCACCCTCAGTGGATCGCGGTGAAGCATCACTTGCGGTGGAAAGCCCTCCACATAAAATGTGGTCGACTCGAATCCACGTCCCGTGTCAGCCAGATATTCCTTCTGTAGCCTCTCCACATCACGGAAGCTACGGACATTCCCCTCTACCAGCAGCGGGGCCAACTCTGGATGGATAATTAGCTGCAGCACCTTGTTAGTATCCATGTTCGATAATCCCATGCCGCCATTCAGCGAATCGAGTTGCTCCAACAGGTGTATCAAAGCGGGATGGATGTCGCTGCCATCGGGAAACGAAGGCCTGGCAGCAGAATCGGATCCAGGATTATCTGGACATGTGGTTGGGGGCTGCTCCGCCCCTTGGTTGGACGACAGGGGCGTTGAGAGATGTGGAGAAGATCCCTCAGGATCAACACGACTCTCACAGCCCACGCCACTAGACGCGGTTGGCAGTGTCTCCTGAGTTGCATCTTGAGGCGCGGAACTGCCATGTCTGACGAAGCGCGGGAGCGATGCAGGCACAATGTAGGCTATGTTAGGGCGCCTAGGACCACTGCCTGCGCGATGCTCTGCAGAGTTGGGGTTGCAGGGTGTGTTGCCAGCCCGGTGCCTTCCTAGCGCGAAACAGTCTGAAAACTCTCGTTCACAGTGTGCACACTGAACAGGGCTAGAACGATCCATGGCTGTGCGACATTAGTCCGTCGTTCCTTTGCCTCTGCATATCGCCGTGGCGTTTAAATACGCACCCGCTACAAAGAGTAGATGAATAGCGAGAAGGCCATTCAGTATAAGGTAGCGGATGGACATCGTGACGGGGAATAACGCTACAGTGCGAGCTAGCTAGAGGCGCGACAGCCATGTGATTACGACGAGTCGCTGACGGCGCAACCTGGGGGCACGATATGAGATGCAATACACGAATCGCGAGGAGGCGGATCGGGAACCTTGATGAAATTAGGTTTGCAGCCTTCAGGATAGGGTTGGTGTGTGCGTGCAGTGCCTGATTCCCTGTACCTCATACCACGACTTCAAACTCTCGAAAGTCAAATGCAATGCTATTCACGTTTTAGACACAACACTATACGAGCCCTGGTGTGCACATAAGTGAAAAGACGTATGCATGACAAAATGTGCCATTTATAGAATTGAACAAAAATATTAACTGAACCTACGATCAAGAAATTTGTAACCATGGTTTCATTTAACCGAACCTACTGACTACTGACTATTGGACTAATATCGTCTAGGATAGGAAATTAGGCCTTGCCCCATACGACGGCCTAAATCGCAGTAAAATCCGGCGTTTTATGTCATCTTCCAAACAACCAACCAAGAGTGCTCCGTGTGAAAAGTTTAGAAGAAAGAAGAAGGATTGGACTAGCAAGAATGGGGATACAAATAGCAAACCCTAGAAGGGTTGTACTCGCTATAGAGCACCCCACTATAGGCTAGAGCATAAGATAACATTCTGACACACCCCCATAGCCAAAGTGGGGTGTAATCAGCAGAGCAAGCAAAGCAGTACAAGCTCAGGGTGGATCACAATGTCACCACACATTCTGAGCACAAGTTCAAGAAGCAATAGTTTAAAGGGTACTATTATGAGCAAAGCTAGTGGTAGTCACAACGGGCAAGCGAGGAGGAGAGAGAGTGAGAGGAGAGGAGATAGGAGGCGACGGCTGAAGCTGCAGACACACGGGCAACAGGAGGCAGACTGGCACAGCGGCTACCGGACGAAGTCCCCGGAATACAGGAGTAACAGGCCCCGCGGCTAAAGTAGCGGCAGACGAGCAACGGACCCACGGGCGGCTGGCACAGCTGGCTACGACTGGGCTACCGGACGAAGTCCCCGGAATACAGGTGCTGCTGGCGACACGACGGCAACCTCCATACAGCTTCCCCAAACTATCCCACTCCCCCTGGCACACACCCGCTGCTACACCGCTAGCTCCACTCCCACGCACCCCCCTTAAACCCTAAACCCCAGTTTCCCACACATCCACCCCCCTCAGCGACAGCTGCAGCAGTGGGAGACAAACGAGGAGGAGGAGCAAAGGGAGGAATGCAGAAGTGCCACCCCCATACTCGCCACCCCCTACTCGCCACTCCCCAAACCCTAACACAGGCAGGGCGGGATGGCGGGTAGGGAGGTTACGGGGGAAAGGGGGGGGGGGGGGGGGGGGGGAACCGACGCGCGGCCTCCCAGGGCGCCAAGACAGGCAGCAGAAGGGGCGGCGCTCGCCCCCCTCCCCCAGGTAAGCGGCCCCCGAGGGAGCCGCGACGGGCGACGGGAAAAGGGGCCGCAGGTGGGGCCGGGGCCGGGGCGCAGGTAGGGCGATGGGGCCGGGGCGCAGGTAGGGCGTCGGGGCCGGGGCCGCAGGCGGGGCCGGGGCCGGGGCGCAGGTAGGGCGACGGGGCCGAGGCGTGTGCCCTCGGTGCGCCGCGACGGGTCCCCGTCGCCCGTCGCGGCGCCTCCAGAGGGCGACGCGGCGAACGACGGGGCAGAAGCCCGCCGCGCGCCTCGGGGCGCACAGCGGGCAGAGAACCGCCGCGCGCCTCGGGGCGCACGGCGGGAAGAAAAAGTGCCGCACGCCAGGGGGCGTGCGGCTCAGAGAGTAGTGAAAGGTAGTTGCAGCGGAAGCGAGGAGGTGGTAACCCACCCACAGGATCGATCCAAGGGGATCGACGTGCTCTGATAGCATGTGAAAAGTTTAGAAGAAAGAAGAGGGATTGGACTAGCAAGAATGGGGATACAAATAGCAAACCCTAGAAGGGTTGTACTCGCTATAGAGCACCCCACTACAGGCTAGAGCATAAGATAACATTCTGACACTCCGAGTAGATGAAAACTGGATGAAAGGTCCACAGCACTACTTAGAGTCACCATACAAAGAATCAGCTCAATCCAATCTTTGGCTGGTAGGTAATCGTGCCTTGCCCCAAAATGCAGCGGAAATCGCATAAAAATCAACTAAACTATGTCATCTTCCAAACAACCAACCTAGAGTGCTCCGCAGGACCTGAAAATTAGATGGAAGGTCCACAGCACTATTTAGAGTCACCACACAAAGAATCAGCTCAATCGAATATGTGGCTGGCAGGTAATCATGCATTGCCCCGTAAGGCAGCGGAAATCGCAGCAAAATCAGCTAAACTAGCTCATCTTCCAAACAACCAACCTAGGGTGATCCGCAGGAGCTGAGAATGGGATGAGAGGTTCATAGAACTAACTAGAGTCACCATACAAAGAATCAGATCAATCCAATCTTTGGCTGGTAGGTAATCGTGCCTTGCCCCAAAAGGCAGCGGAAATCGCATAAAAATCAACTAAACTATGTCATCTTCCAAGAAACCAACCTAGAGTGCTCCGCAGGACCTGAAAATTGGATGGAAGGTCCACAGCACTACTTAGAGTCACCACACAAGGAATCCGCTCAATCGAATATGTGGCCGGCAGGTAATCATGCCTTGCCCCGTAAGGCAGCGGAAATCGCAGCAAAATCAGCTAAACTAGCTCATCTTCCAAACAACCAACCTAGGGTGATCCGCAGGAGCTGAGAATGGGATGAGAGGTTCATAGAACTAATTAGAGTCACCATACAAAGAATCAGATCAATCCAATCTTTGGCTGGTAGGTAATCGTGCCTTGCCCCAAAAGGCAACGGAAAACGCAGTGAAATCATTCAACTAACTTATTTTCCAAACAACCAACCTAGGGTGCTCCGCAGGAGCTGAGAATGGGACGGGAGGTTCATAGCACCAACTAGAGTCAACACACAAATAATTAGCTCAACCCAATATGTGGCGGGCAGGTAGTCATGCCTTGCCCCATAAGGCAGCGGAAATCTCAGCAAAATCAGCTAAACTAGCTCATTTTCCAAACAACCATTCTACAATGTTCCGCAGGAGCTAAGATTGAGATGGGAGGTTCATAGAACTAACTATCTCCACCACACAAAGAATAAGCTCAATCCAAAATGCCTACGCTATCAATCGACGCATTTCCCCACAGGCCTGCGCAGAACTTGTACAGAGCAGCCTTAGGCAGCACGTTTGTCGAACGACCAACCAAACGTGCTCCGGCGAGGCCCATTTTGGGATGGGAGGCTCCTGATAATATAAGTAACATCCTCCTAGGAGTTCAGCCCAATCCAAAATGTATATGCTATCAATCGACGCTTTTCCCCATAGGCCTGCCGAGAACTTGTACATATCAGCCTTAGGCTAGCACGTTTGTCAAACGACCAACCAAAAGTGCTCTGGCGAGGCCCATTTTGGGATGGGAGGCTCCTGATACTAATAGGAACTTTAATACTAGGATGCTTAGAGAGTTTAGGCTTTATACTGAATCTAGTCAACAACAAGATTCCTCGCCCCAAGAGCGACCACAGTATCATTTCAACTTGCTAGACTCTATGCAGCATGTACATGGATGAACGGTTGCTCCTTGATGAGAATCACCTGTTGGGACGTGATTGGCATATTGGGAACCCTGTCAATTACAATCAAAACTCGCAAGTATTCAACAGATAAAAAAGTGCACTGTTATGTAAGATCTTGTGCATGCAAATATAGCAGGTGTACAATCAAATTTGGATGGGACCCGAACTGTCTAAGAGAACCCGTTGAAATGCTGCTAGTGGCCATTGGGCAGAGCCGAATCAGAATCAGAGCAGATTCTGGCTGCAATTTTTGGATCGCTGGGCACGGGGTTATGTCTGTTGGTCGTATCGAGGCCTTTGACATCTGGTTGCCACGTGGCCACTTGAAACGCACCAAAATATAGGGGGCAGGATAATTTCTTATGTTAATAGCGAACGCGTGTACTGAGCGACGTTTTAGTAGTGAGCCAGCGCCTTCAGCGGCCGCAAAACGAAGACACACGTTGCAGGCTAAGAGACGGTGAGAACTGCGGTGGGACTGCAAAGCCGTCTTCGTGTGCTTGAGTTTTCAATCTTTTGGGAACAATCTTTCAGACAAATCCAACAGCTGTTTCAGAAAAACAAGCAACTAGAACGCATTTGGCATTTAGTAAGTAGAGAAACATCCCAACCAGGGCTGTCGATTGGTTTTAGGCCAACACTTGAGTGGCTGAGGTCCCCTGTTTCCAGCCCTGAAATTTCCGTGAAGCGGCTTTTTCCAGACCGTAAGCGTCCGGGAAAGGCCACAACTTAACACTTGAAATCAGGGCAACACTTAAGCGTTCAGGGCAAGAATTTACCTGCTCTAACACTGGAAGCCGTAACTTGCTCAAATTGCCTATCCACCTTCCATCAAAGGTCAGGTGGCAAGCTTGCGGCTCTAACAAGGGGTGTGAGAATGGGGAGAGTTACGAGGAAGGGGGGTGGAGAGAGGGGGGGGCTCCGAGAAAGTCCCCAAACTTGTACGGCGAATCAGGGCTAGCCCCCAAGTGCGCCCTGTAAGAATCAGGGGAAGGCCCTGACGACGCCCTTTAAGAATCCGGGCTTTAGTGAAAAGCAATCCTTTAATTTCGGAACCTGGACCAATGTCAACCCTTAATGTTCAGGGCATTAAGGGCAAATGCCCTTGAATCGACAGCCCTGATCCCAACGTTCTCGGGAAAAGTTTTTTCTGCTCACAAGTTTTCGGTTTACCAAAAGGGTCATCTCCAGGTGCGCCGATTGCCAAATGCAGGCTAAGTGACGGGATGCGACGAGAAGTAGTTCTACCTTGATAGGGTCAGTGGACCGTTGCGAAATTCCTACCACTGCTCCTAGGGTCAGTTCGGAACTTTACTGTTCTGCACTGTACTGCCACATTGCCACGTACCCACAAAGCTGCCATGAAAACTACAGAGCTGCCCTGCCGCACAAACCACAAAGCTGCCACGCAAACCACAATTCTGCCATGTGGTGCTGGCTACTGTCGTCGTTTTGTACTGTATCAAACCAACATTATCATCAACCGCCTCGAACCCCAGCCCACGGTCACGCCTAGCAGTTCCTCTGCCACCATCGTCTCTCACGACTCTCTGGTCCTGTGCTACCGTTCGCGATAGCAGTCACGACGCTGAAAGACCAACACCTTCACAAGGGCGTCTTTCCTTCGGCACCGCAAGACAGTTTTTCCCCCGCTTTTCCCAGCGACTTACCTCTGACATGGTCGAACCGCGACCCACGCGACTCTCCTATGCAAACATAAACGACCTCGCGCTTCCACGATTTCCTGTTCCGTCCGTTTTTCACGGCCTCTCAGAATGGCACGTATCATAGCGCCACGTACTGCCTTACCCTCTGCGAACATAGTAGCTTCTGGGGCCTCCCTAGTATCACACACGTCCAGTTTCTTTCCGGGAGTCAAGCCGCGCCGGTTGAAAGTCCATACCAAATCGTTATAAGCGGGTCACGTAGAAAGCGCCCGTTCCCGAATCGGGCTGCTTCAAACTCTGAGTACCCGACCCGTCAAGTGACCGCGACCGGAACACGCTGTACATTTTCGGTTCCTAAATAATGGCTCAATTCTGCATCTCCTGAATGTTTAAGAAGACATGTTTCGACACTAGTAGCACTTACCAATCCACAGTGCAAACCGATATACTTTGTTACGTTAGAGTTTCCCAGCGTTTCCCGATTTTCTCTGGCCCTATCTGCATAATGTCGACTAAACTGCAGGTCTCGAAGTCTGGGAAGAAAAACTCTGCCAAAGGTGTCTCGGCACGATCTCCCAGCAAGGTCAAGCAGACTACGAAGAAGAGGGGAACTGTGGGTCCGCCGAAATCCAGGTCATCTAGCGGTGAGGGCCCACCTGGGGGCGATATTCGCAAGTCCAACCGCCCTCGAAAGGCGAGAGTGTGGTACGCAGAAGGTGCGGATGCTACCGAAGAAGACGTTGAACCTGTTACAGCTGCGCGGAACAAACGACAGGGCGACGATTTGGACGAGGCAGAGACCAACGGCAAGTCGGGAGACGAGGCCGAGGCTGAGGACGAGGCTGAGGCCGAGGCTGAGGATGAGGCTGAGGACGAGGCTGAGCACGAGGCTGAGCACGAGGCTCCGCACGAGGCGGAGGAGGAGGCGGAAGAAGAGGCCGACGAAGATGTTGAAATATATTTCTTATATAAACTGCTTGTAGCAGTAGTTAGTGTAGTCTTACAGTGGTGGTGCACCTTTCCTTGCTTCTTTGTTCTCTATTTGTACTCTTTGCTCCATAGTGAAATCACCTTTTCTTGCTCCAACTCTCTCGATAGTCATGCCTAGCCTAAACCCTAGCATGACTCCTATTCTTTCCTCCTAACTACTATCTTAACATGGTAATCAGAGCAGGAACTTTCCTGCGGCCTTCCTGGCCTGTGGGCCCCCCACCAACGTCTTCCGCTGCCCTACTGTCCGCCGCGCGCCCCGTGGCGCGCGGCGCTGCATTTTCTTCCCGCCACGCGCTCCGAGCGCGTGGCGGCCTTTTTCTGCCCGCCGCGCGCTCGGGGCGCGCGGCGGTTTTCCCGTCCATCGAAGCGCCCTCGGGGGGGCTTGCGCGCTGCCCTCCCCGCTGCTCGTCACGACGCCCGCGCGGGACCCGCGGGGCGTCGCCCCTACTCGTCGCGACGACCCTACGGGACCCGCGGGACGTCGCCCCTGCTCGTCGGGACGTCCGTGCGGGACCTGCGAGGCGTCGCCCCTGCTCGTCGCGGCGTCCGTACAGGACCCGCGGGGCGCCGCCAGAGCCTACAGCAGCGGCCGCCGCCACCCAGCAGCAGCAGCCGCCGCCAGGCCTGCAGCAGCTGCCGCCTCCGCGCCTGCAGCAGCAGCAGCCGCCGCTCTGCAGCAGCAGCCCCAGGGGAGGGTGAGGGTGAGGGGGTGGCAGGGGTGACCAGCATGCGTTAGCCCACCTCCTCTCTCTCTTCCTGTCGCCCCTCCTGGGGTGGGGGGGGGGGGGGGGGAGGGTGAGGGGGTGGCGTTGGAGGAAGGGTGGGGGGAAGGCGTGAGGTTCCAGGGGGCGGTTGACAAGGGGGGTGAGGTTGAGGGGGGTGGCTGAAAGAGGGTGTGGACTTGGGGGTTCGTAAGAGGGGCTCGCCGCGCTTGGCTCCCCCCACCTCCTCTCCTCCCTCTCTCACCCTCCCCCCCTTTGTAAAAAGGGGGTTCGTAAGAGGGGCTTGCCGCGCTTGGCTTCCCCCACCCCCGCTCCTCATCTCTCTCTCACCCTCCCCCCCTTCGTAAAACGGGGGTTCGTGTCAAAATTAGAAGGAAGAAAGAGGATTGAACTAGCAAGAATGAGGATACAAATAGCAAACCCTAGAAGGGTTGTACTCGCTATAGAGCACCCCACTACAGGCTAGAACAATAAGATAATATTCTGACACACCCCCATAGCCAAAGTGGGGTGTAATCAGCAGAGCAGGCAAAGCAAAACAAGCTCAGGGTGGATCACAATGTCACCACACATTCTGAGCACAAGTTCAAGAAGAAATAGTTTAGAGTTTACAATTATAAGCAAAGCTAGTGGTAGTCACAACGGGCAAGTGAGGAGGAGGGAGAGTGAGGGGAGAGGAGACAGGAGGCGACGGCTGAAGCTGCAGACACACGGGCAACAGGAGGCAGACTGGCACAGCGGCTACCGGACAGCGCCCGGACTACAGGGGTAACAGGCCCCGCGGCTCAAATAGCGGCGGACGGGCAACGGACCCACGGGCGGCTGGCACAGCTGGCTACGACTGGGCTACCGGGACAGCGCCCCTGACTACAGGTGCTGCTGACGACAAACTGGCAACCTCCGCTCATCCTCCCGCACACAGTCCCACCCCCCTGATACACACCTACTGCTACACCACTAGCTCTACTCCCACGCACCCCCCCTTAAACCCTAAACCCAGTCTCCCACACATCCACCCCCCTCAGCGACAGCTGCAGCAGTGGGAGACGAAGGAGGAGGAGGAGAAAGGGAGGAAGGCACACCGACCACCCCCATACCCGCCACCCCACAGCTCTCCCCTCCCGTCGTCCGTCGTGGCGACCTGAGGGGGCCGCTTGCGGCCCCCGAAGGAGCCGCGACAGGCGACGGGAAATGGGAGGGAGGGGGGGGGGGGGGGGGGGGGGGGTGTGTGGAGGAAAGGGCCCACCACGGACCTGATTGGAGGGCGGAGCCGCGACAAGGGGCGGGGCCGCAACGAGTGGCGGGGCCGCGACGGTCAGGGCGGGGCCGCGACAGGTAGGGCGGGGCCGCGAAGGTAGGGCGGGGCCGCAACGGTCGGGGCGGGGCCGCGACGTAGGGCGGGGCCGCTTCGAGGGGCGGGGCCGCGACACAGGGCGGGGCCGCGACGAGGGGCAGGGCCGCGACGTAGGGTGGGGCCGCGACGGTCGGGCAGGGCCGCGACGTAGGGCGGGGCCGCGACGTAGAGCAGACGCCCGCCGCGCGCCCCGGGGCGCACAGCGGGCAAAGAACCGCCGCGCGCCCCGGGGCGCACGGCGGGCAGAAAACCGCCGCGCGCCTCGGGGCGCACGGCGGGAAGGAAAAACCGCCGCGCGCCTCGGGGCGCACGGCGGGAAGGAAAGGTAGCAGCGGAAGCGAGGTGGAAACCCACCCACAGGATCGATCCAAGGGGATCGACCTGCTCTGATAGCATGTCAAAATTAGAAGGAAGAAAGAGGATTGAACTAGCAAGAATGAGGATACAAATAGCAAACCCTAGAAGGGTTGTACTCGCTATAGAGCACCCCACTACAGGCTAGAACAATAAGATAATATTCTGACAGTTCGTAAGAGGGGCTTGCCGTGCTTGGCTCCCCCCACCTCCACTCCTCATCCCTCTCCTCTCCTCTCTCTCTCTCTCTCGCCTCCTCCTCCTCGCATTCTTCACTTGCCCTCTGCTTCTACTGCGCTTGGTGTACCCCTTCAAGGGGTGTCTCTGCATTAGCTTCCTGCTGCAAGCAGTTTAGGGGGTGTGTTGAAATATATTTCTTATATAAACTGCTTGTAGCAGTAGTTAGTGTAGTCTTATAGTGGTGGTGCACCTTTCCTTGCTTCTTTGTTCTCTATTTGTACTCTTTGCTCCATAGTGAAATCACCTTTTCTTGCTCCAACTCTCTCGATAGTCATGCCTAGCCTAAACCCTAGCATGACTCCTATTCTTTCCTCCTAACTACTATCTTAACAGAAGATGCGGAGGAAGATGAGGAGGAAAAGGCGGAGGAAGAGGCGGAGGAAGAGGCGGAGGAAGAGGCGGAGGAAGAGGCGGAGGAAGAGGAAGATGGCGAGGCGGAGGACGAAGAGGGTGGGGAGTCCGGCAATGAGTCGGAAGATGAGTCCGAGGACGAGCCGTCGGACGAGGAGGGTGGAGAGTCGGACGATGAGCAGGGGGATGAGGAGGAGGCAGTGGAGAGGAATGAGAAAAACGGTATGGCGGAAGTGCCTGCCTGCGCGGATGCTCATAAGCCCGAGGTCACGAAAAAAACAAGCTTTGACGAGATGCTGGAAGAGCAGGATGACAGTGAAGGTGATGCCGTGGAGGATGAGGCTGTGGCAGAGGAACGAGCTTTGCTGCTTGGGAAGCTGAAGGCACTTGATGAGATCCAGGAACCCGTTGTCAGCTCGAAGCTCACTGGAAAGGGTGCGAAAGCACAGTCGCGTTCAGGACCCTCTAAGGTTCTGGCTAAGCCACCTCCAGGGAGACATGCTGTCGCCATGGCTAAGGGTAAGGAGAAAGTGGTGGAGAAAGGGATGGCGAAAGAGAGTAGCCCTGGTGGAAAGACGAAACGGGAGGAGTCCGCCTTGGTGGTTGGAGGTGCATAAAAAAAGTGGAACACCGGTGAAGTTGCGGGCAAAACGAAGGCAACTCCAAAGGCAGCAGGCGCTGGGGCAAGAGGGGTAAAGGCTAAAGCGGGCGGTGGGGCTAAAGCGACCGCTAAGAAGGGCAACACCAAAACCGATGGTGAGAACGTTGCCTCGTTAAGGTGCATGTTTCAGTGAACTAGGGCTATTGCCCTTATGTTGCCTTTCTATTTGTGGCATGTTTGTTGATGTCCCAAGGCACTGTCCCATCCTTTCTCTGTAGTCCCATCCCTGTTGTCCCTATCCTTGCTGTACCCTATCCTCCCATCCCTGCAGTCCCATCCCTACCGTCAGCTCTCGTCCTATCCCTGCCGTAAACCAATCTGTCTACCTTCCTCCCATCCCTCCCGTCACCCATCTCCCATCCCTCCCGTCACCCAACTCCCATCCCTTCTGTCACGTTCCTCCTATCCTTTCTGTCACGTTCCTCCCAGCAGCACCCAAGGACTCCGGAGCTGCGCCACCAGTGAAGGTTCTCAGCCTAGCCACCAAGCGTTTCGATCTCGTACCCGCCAAGAAAACCCTGTTTGTGGCGGCATCCGGCGATCGCCGCCGGGAGCGTGGTGGTGTAACAAACGCGGACCTTGACCAGTTCGAGCAACGCGTGATGGCGAGGTTTGCCGAAATGCTGTCGGCCATGGGTCGGGGTGCTGGCCAATCCCTCCCAATCGGAGCGCCTGCAACAACACCTCCCCATTCTGGCCCGAGCACCAGCTTGTGGGAAGGCCTTCCCTCTGGCAATAGTCCCCTGGCAAACCACCGCGAAATCGTCTACAAAGCCGTAGTCGACTTCAAGGTGCGTTGCCTGTGATACACTGCGTATGCATTTCTTGGACTCCTACTCGACCAGTCTGCACCCTCACCCCTCGATCCTAAACCCCAATTGCTTCCCCAACCAGAACTAGGGAGTTGAAGCTTTTCCTAAACACTGACTCACGCTGTGCCAGTCTATCCCTCCTACCCTCAACCCTAAACCCCACTTGCTTCCCGAATCCAGGTCTAGGGAGGTGAGGCTTTACCTGAACCCTGACTCCCCTCTGCCTGCCTGCCCCTCTCCCCTCAACCCTAAACCCCACTTACTTCCCTGTCCAGGTCTAAGGGGGTGAGGCAATACCTAAACCCTGACTCCCTTCTGCCTGCCTGCCCCTCTCCCCTCAACCCGAAACCCCACTTGCTTCCCTGTCCAGGTCTAAGGGGGTGAGGCAATACCTAAACCCTGACTCCCCTCTGCCTGCCTGCCTGCCCCTCTCCCTTCAACCTTAAACCCACCTGCTTCCCCATCCAGGTATAGGGAGGTGAGGCTTTGCCTAACCATGATTTCTGCTTTGACTGTCTGCCCTCACTACCATCAACCCTAAACCCCACTTGCTTCCCCATCCTGGTCTAAGGGGGTGAGGCAATACCTAAACCCTGACTCCCTTCTGCCTGCCTGCCCCTCTCCCCTAAACCCGAAACCCCACTTGCTTCCCTGTCCAGGTCTAAGGGGGTGAGGCAATACCTAAACCCTGACTCCCCTCTGCCTGCCTGCCCCTCTCCCTTCAACCTTAAACCCACCCTCTTCCCCATCCAGGTATAGGGAGTTGAGGCTTTACCTAACCATGACTTCTGCTTTGACTGTCTGCACCCACTACCATCAACCCTAAACCATGACTTATGCTTTGTCAATCTGCCCCCTCTCTCCTCAACCCTAAACCTCTCTTGCTTACCCAGCCAGGAACTGGGAGATGGAGCTTCTAAACCTTGACTCATGCTCCAACAGTCTGTCCCTTCTACCCTCAACTCTAAACCTTACTTGCTCCCCCATCCAAATCTAGGGAGCTGAAGCTTTCCCTAAACCTAGACGCATGCTCCAACTATCTGCCCACCTTACCCTCAACACTAAACCCCACTTGCAAACCCTTACCTCTTGTTTGCATATCTGCCACCCATCCCCCTCCACTCTGCAGGAACTTTCTAGGCGTGTAGCAACACATCTTTGCTTCAACATTGAAGCCTCAATGATTCAGTTCTACCCATCTGCGGAGGAGGCCTTAGATCATGGGTTTAGCGAGTTTGTGTCGCCGCAGGTTCTTGCCTCGTTGCGTGTGCTCTTTCAGCACAATGATGCCAGCACCAGAGGGGTTTTTTTTTAGCAGTTGTCTTCAACTAGGACTACTATCAACGGCTAGATGAGAAAGGTGGCGCTCACGGCGTTGGGTCGACACGCGAACAAGTGTTACATCGGGAGGTTACCAGCAGATCTACTTGCACCACTCGAGTTCTACACGGATGAGGAACTCATTGAGCGTTACAAGGATGGTGAGTTTGTATGCAGCCTTTGATCCCATAGTTGTTGTTATGTGTGTTGCAATCATATGTATATGTATGATTTCGTTCCTCCTTTCCACTTTCGGTTGCCTCCTATTCACCATAGAGTCAGCAATTTTCATCCCTTTGTTTCCTATCGCCACACAATCTCATTACAGGGGAGAGGGGACTGGCTTGGCGCCGTGAGCTCCTCATCCCGTTCGGCAGCCTCATCTTCTCGGTGTCCATCAAGTTGGCTTTGGCGCGCCGTGGGGTCAATACCGAGAAGATTAAGACCCGCCAGCTGGGCTGGATCTTATATGCAGTGAGTTTATGGACATGTTGCTATGTTTGATGCCACGTATGCGGTGAGCCATCTAGTGTTTTCATGTGTTAACCCTTGTCTGTTCATCTTTTCCACTACATCCCCACCTCATCCCCACCATATTCCTACAGTTCGAGTGGCCAATCCTTAACAATGCGCCCGATGGGAAGTTGAGCGGCAAGTGGGAGTACAATCGGATCCAGTACGAGGAGATGTGCACCCGTGTGAAGCAGGAGGTCGAGATCGCTGTCATGGACCATGGTGTCCCATACGCCAGCAACACGAACACATTCAACTTCCCCAACGGCGTCTACATCGACGCGTCTGACATGGAGACCCTTGTCAGCAGGGTGCAGGTAAGTCATCCATAGGACCAAAACCTTGCTGAGATGGCTCCAACACAATGCTCATGTGGCACCAACGCCGTGCTGTGGCACCAGCTTTGTTGCATCACCCACCATCTCTTCCGTCCCCTTCCCCTTCCTCCCATGTCTTCCGTCCCCTTCCCCTTCCTCCCATCTCTTCCGTCCCCTTCCTCCCGTCTCTACTGTCCCCTTCCTTCCGTCCCCCATGCCTCTTTGCGCAGGCAGCACGACCTGCACCAGCCCGGGTTGTCACCCCCAACCCGTGATCACAGAGATCTACAGCAGCACTAGGGGGACATGTGCGGAGGGGCTTAGTAGTGGCAGTAGCAATCTGCAGCAGCAGCAGGGGGATCGGTGCGGAGGGGCTTCGCAGTGGCAGTAGCAATCTGCAACTTCAGCAGGGGGACAGGTGCAGAGGGGCTAAGCAGAGGCAGTAGCAATCTGCAGCAGGAGCAGGGGGAACGGTGCAGAGGGGCATTTCAGTGGCTGTAGAAATCTGCAGGAGCAGGAGGACAGAAAACGAGGGGCATATCAGTGGATGCAGCAATTTGCAACAGCAGCAGGGGGACAAGTGCAGAAGGGCGCATCAGTGGAAGTAGCAATCAGCAGGAACAGCAACGGGACGGGAAAACGAGGGGCATAGCAGTGGATGCAGCAATCTGAGACAGCAGCAGGGGGACAGGTGCGGAAGGGCACATTAGTGGCAGCAGCAATCTGCAGGAACAGCAGGATGACAGGAAAACGAGGGGCATAGCAAAGGCAGTAGCAATCTGCAGGTGCGGAGGGGCGTAGCAGCGGCAGTAGCAACCTGCAGGAGCAGCAGGGAGACAGGTGCAGAGGGGCGTAGCAGCGGCATTAGCAACCTGCAGGAGCAGCAGGGAGACAGGTGCAGAGGGGCGTAGCAGCAGCATTAGCAACCTGCAGGAGCAGCAAGGAGACAGGTGCAGAGGGGCGTAGCAGCAGCATTAGCAACCTGCAGGAGCAGCAGGGAGACAGGTGCAGAGGGGAGTAGCAGCGGCATTAGAAACCTGCAGGAGCAGCAGGGAGACAGGTGCAGAGGGGCGTAGCAGTGGCAGTAGCAACTAGTAGCAGCAGCAGGGGGGACAGGTGCGGAGCAGCAGGGGGACAGGTGCGGAGGAGCATAGCAGTGGCAGTAGCAACCAGTAGCAGCAACAGGGAGACAGGTGCGGAGGAGCATAGCAGTGGCAGTAGCAGCCAGCAGTAGCTTTAGCAGAAGGATTTAGTAACCTTTAATCAGTGTAGTGTAGGAGCAGTACAGTTGTAATGTATTGTTTTGCTGTATCTAGAGGTACACTATGCTATATTTTGATTTTGCAATATTTTTTTTTTCAAACAGAAATTACATGCAAATGACAGTTTGGTATAGGGCCAACCCAAGACACAGGAGACTCTAGATTGGGACCATACTTGGTTCAACTTGGGATAAAGTTGAGAGTAGGCTTGGAGAAAAAATGGTCATCAGAATCACCTAAACTTTGGCCAAACATAGCCCAAAGTTCATATTAGCAACTATACCAATATTGTACCAAACAATGAGACCATTAATGGTCCAATTTTGGATGGAAACACCAAAGTTGGAGCAATAATTGACCAATATAATAGGGGGGTTTTTGTGATGTCCAAGCTTTTCTTCGTCCTGCTTGCGCTCTCCCTGCTCGTGTCCCTCGCGCTGGCGCCGACGTGCCGCGCGAATGAGATCGACGCAGAAGACGACGACGCCGACGACGTTGAAGACGCCGTCAATTCCGCCGGCGAGGCGCCTGCTGGTGAGATTCGGTTTATTGCCGCATTGTTCATGGCGTTGATGATTCCAGAGCACGCGAGGGCACGTGAGGGCGCTGTTCGGCGAGAGCAGGCGGTTTCCGTGCGGTACCCTAGGTTACGTAGCGTCTTTTAGCTAATATCTACTTTGTTTGCGTTCCCTCATTCCAGGTCTCATAGGAAAGCTTTTCGGCGCAAGCAGGCGGTTCCTGTGGTCGCCGCGCATGCTTTCGTGCCGGTCAGACTGCGAGGAGAAGAACAAGAAGTGCAACACCGATTACAGCGAGTGCAAGCGCGAGAACAGGGACGACGAGCATGACCACAAGAAGTGCACGCACAAGTACGAGAAGTGCAAGAAGAAGATCAAGAAGTGCCGCCGCAAATGCGACTAGAGCAGAACCCAAAAGCGCAAACGCGAATGCAGGATGTCTGGGAGATGGTAGATCAAATGGTCTTTTCTCTCAGGCTGTGCTATGTTCCGTTAGAAGTAGTGTCTGCAAGGGATGTTCTGGAGATAAACTGATGGGCACTCAGGTGAGGTAGGTATTGATATGTAGTTGGCGAACCACCTCACATCAATGAAGGACTTCGGGCCATATTGGTATTTATTTGGTATGAGACATATTCCACAGCCAACCTCAGCCACTTGACCAGCGCCATGCTCCAACAAGGCTGCTGTGCCTCTAAGCTAGAAGCGCCCTGCCACCCTCCAAACAATCTCCAACACACTACAAGCAATCAACACCCTACCCTACAAATCATCTTCCCAGTATCGTGCCATACCACCACCACCACCAGCCCCTGCCGATGCACCTGCTGTGCTAAACGACTCTGCACCCACACCAGCCTTAGGAGCAGAAGCACCAAGAAGGCTGCTGTGTCCATACCCTTGCCCATTCAACCCATCCCAACCTCGCTCCTGCTCCCTGGCCTCCCACTGCCATACACAACCTGCTGCCATCATCCAAACCTCACTAAAGAGCGCTCCAATAAAGCGCATAACGTCTGCCCAGGTGACAAAGGGCAGTGTCCCAGCAGCCACAGGGAGGAGGAGGAGCAGAGTGAGGTGGAAGAGGAGGCGTCTTACCCACGGGGGAGGGGGAGGGGGGATGATAAGAGAGAGGAGGGGGAGGAGGTGAGAACGGCCCCACTTGCTGCACACAAGGGCAAAAGCTCGTGGGTTGGTGAACAGTAGCTGGATGGAGGTGAAGCAGGAGGCAAGGAGAGTGATGATGAGGCGTGCCCATACTGAGAGGGACTGTAACGAGACGGTGGTGTAGAGAGGTGAATCTGTACATGTGGAAACGGATGCTGCTGCTTCTGCGACGCCTGATGGTCGCCGAGACTCTGAAGATGATGACGCTGATGGTGATGACGTGGATACAGATGCAGACGACGATCGCCGCCCAGAAGGCGATGAGGAGGGGCGCCTTGCAGATGACGACAAGGATGGCTCGCTCTCTGCTGGATTGCACACGGAAGAAGACGATGAGCGCCGTGATGCCGACCCACCGTCCGACCCTCGCCTGTTTGCCGCCCACCAGCGCCCCATCACCAGCCCATCCACGTCATCATCCATGACAGCTGTCACGATCTCAGCCATCCGCCTCCACACGCCCCCCACCAACTTCCCAATGCCGTGCCCCTTCCAACTCACGCCCCTTGTGCTGCCCCTCCCAGTATTCCCTCTGTTATCTGAGTCAACATTGTTCCCCAAATGCTCTTTAAAACGCCCTGTTGGGTCCCTTGATTGCCCTGCTGGGTAGTTTCTAGAAGGCCCTGTTAGGTCTCTGCTTGGCACAATCTCTCCTCTTCTTCTCCGCATCCCCTGTGCAGCTGCTGCTACAGATGCGTCTGGTGTTCGTCCAAGCATGACTGCTGCTGATGCTCCTGCTGGGGCTACCCCTGCTGCTGCCCCCCCAGTTGCTGAAGTTCCTGCTGCTGCTACTCCTCCTTCCAAGCCTGACCCTGTACAAGCCTTCCTCCCGCTTCTCTCCCCGTCTTCCTCCGCCCCCATCCCCAACTTCCCCACCTCCTCCACCTCCTCACCCGCCCTGCGCCCATACAGCACTCGAAACAGCTGCTCTTTCCGCCAGGCCACCATGGCATGCAGCACACACAGCCCCTCCCAACACACCAGCCACACCACCGCATCCCCCCCTGCCAGCCGCACCGCATAGAACCCAAAGTAACCGCACACGCACCCCAGACACAGCACTATGGTGGTAGCCGGGCGGGAGTGGGCACTACCCGCCCCTGTAGCAGCAGCCACGTTATTGAGCAACATGATATAAGTAGTAGCCAACGTGACCAGGAACGCCAGCAGCATCTGCCCGGCAACAGTCAGCTTGCACCCAATCAGACGCAGCCATGTCACCAGCGACCGGTCCGGGCGGGAGAACGAAACCCCGAGAAAAGACGAAGCGTCCAACGCAGGATCGTGCCGATTCTGACAAGCCGCCACACCAGCAGCTAACCTCTCCCCTGCAAACCTCCACCCAGTCGCTCCAATCACCACCAGCATCACCAGCAACCCTGCGACCAACTCATCCGCACACGCCCTGGCAAACCCAGCTAGCTCCTCCCGACCTCTCCTCTCCCGCCCCTCCTGCTCCCTCCTCACCTTCTCCCCTTTGGAAAGCTCGACCTTCTGAGCCATGAGGTGATTGGAACGGTCTGTGGCGGCTAAGTGTTGGGCGTGGAGGGACACTGAGAGGGCGGATTGAGAGAGCTTGGCTGCTGAGAGGCGGTTTCGCTCCTCCAGGGCGGTTACGTAGCGCAGGGCGAGCAGGGAGGGGGTGGGGGCTGTGACTGTGTGGGATGTGAGTGCGTGGGATGTGAACGCATGGGATGGGGTTGTGATTGCGTGGGAGAGGGTTGAGTGGGTGTGGGATAGAGCCAACGGATGAGCTGACACGGGCTGGTATGGATGTGGCTGGTACAGGTGTGACTGGTGCAGGTGTGACTGGTGCAGGTGTGATGATAACGGATTGTAAGAATGTGGTTCGCCTGACGTGGAGCTCGGATGGTAGGGCTGTGTGGGTGGGGCTGTTGGGGAGGTCGGAAAGGGTGCTATGGTTTCAGAAGCGTGTGAGAGAGGAGCATAGGGCGGTGAGACGGAATGGTATACGTGAGATGGAAGCGAGTGGGTTTCAGGAGTGCGAGCGGGGATGGAGCTCGTAGAGACAGAACGAGTGGGGATGGCAGGGATGGGGGACTCGGACTCAGGAGAGTGCGAGAGAGAGGCACAGGGTGGTGAGATGGAATGGCACGCGTGAGATGGAAGCGAGTGGGTTTCAGGAGTGAGAGTGGGGATGGAGCTTGTAGAGACGGAACGAGGGGGGATGGCAGGGATGGGGGACTGGGGCTCAGGAGAGTGCAATTGAGGAGCACAGGGTGGTGAGTCGGAATGGCCTGCGTCAGACAGAGGTGCGTGGCTTTCAGGAGTGCGAGAAGATTGTTTTTGAGGTGCCTCAAAAACAAGAGCATAGAATGGTGAGACGGATTGGTAAGCGTGAGACGGAGGCGAACTTGGAGCGTGTGTGTCCTGCTGCACCTGCTGCTGCCGGTGCTGCTGCATCTTGGTCTGCTCTTGCAATCGCCTCGGCTCTCCTTGCCTGCTCTTCCTCCCACTCTCTTCCTTCCCTGTGCCTTGTCCCTTGTGCTTCCTGCTCTGCTCTTGCTTCCCTGTGCTACCACCCTTTCTCATCCCTCTGCCTGCCTTACACTCTCCCCTCATGCCCCACTCCTCTTCTTCTCCTCCATTTTCCTTAGACAGTCCCTTCTTCCTCCCCCTCTTCTCCCTCTGCTCGCCCTTCTCCTTCTGCCCCCTCTTCTGCGTCCGCTCCCCCTTCTCCTTCTGCTCGTCCGTGTGACCCTCTACCCCCGCAGCTACCTCGCTCTGCAGCAGTACGGCAGCCATGGGGTCATACGAGGCAATGAGCGAGCTTAACACTCCCACTCCATGCTCTTTCTCCTCCCCATCCTCCTCCACCCCCTCCCCTCCCACCACCTCATCCTCCACCCCCTCTTCCCCAGACCCCTCTTCCCCCACCGCGACTACCCCTGCACCTGCTCCCGCCTCCTTCCCCAACTCGCCCTTCCTTGCACTCTCTCTTTCAAAACCCCCAGTCGTTCCGCCTGAACACCCATGCCCATGCCTGCCAAGCCGCCACCCTGATCCAGCAGCGGAAGGAGCAGAGGCAGCGGCAGCAGCAGGAGGCGTGGCAGCAGAAGGAGTAGCAGCAGGAAGAGGAACAGGGACAGGACCAACTCCAGCAATCGGCGCAGCATTAGAAACGGCATTACGGGAAGCAGCAGCAGGAGACAGGTTGAAGGCATGGCTTGGAACGGCTTGGTTCGGCACAGTCCGAGCCAGCGCCCTTCGTACACGAGCGCAGGTTCGGAAGGTGGAGAGAGCTGCTGCGAGAAATGCGGGGGGAAGAGGGGCGTGCTTCACCGCTGCTGCTGCTCCTGCTGCACTTGTTGCTGATACACATGATGTTGCTGCTTCACCATCTGTACCAGCAGTCACTACACCACCACAGCTTCTGCTGCTGCGTACTGTATTTACAGCACAACCAGCTTGTGCTCCGAGTGGAAGCACCAGCTCAGACAGAGACACCTCTATCATCTGGGGAATGTGACCGAGGTGGGAGGAGGGGGAGGGACGGAAGGGGAGGAGGCGAAGGGAGTGGAGGAAGGAGAAAGGAGGAAAGGGGGAGGGGGAGAGGGGGGGGGGGGGGGGTGGCTGGCGATTATGATTGGGAACCGAGTTTTGGTTGTATACCTTGCAGGATTTAGTGAGGTGCGGGTGTGCAGACTGGCAATAGGAAGGGGTCGGGATTTAGAGAGGAGATGATACAAGCGGGAGGATGTCAAACGGAGAGGTAAGAGGGGCGACAAGCCGCTCAAGGGAGGGATTACCTGTGAAAGCTCATCGATAGGGATGGGCTTTTGTGACGTCAGCACATGCGACTCCACCTGCACGGTTCCAACACGTCCACGAGATCAAGGTGACACATGGGTTTTTACCTCAACATTGTATTAAGGTGAGGTTAGAAACATCAACCATTGTGAGCTCCTCAACCGTCATGAGGTGAAAAAACATCGTAATCGCGCTAATCCAAAATTGCGAGGGAGTAATGGTGATCGCGAAATATTATGCAATGCAACTTCAAGCGTGCAGAGAAGAAGCTGGTAATGGGCCGTGAGAAGCGAGTAGAGCCAGGAGCAAAATAAATTTACCTCGGAAATGACAGCGCCGAAGGCCACTCCGAGCGACTGAGCCCACTGATCCGCAAACTGCACGTTAAGTCCAACGGTCGACCTGACATGCGTGTGGTCCGTGGAGCAGCTCGCGTGACTACAACGAACGTGACTGGATCGGTCGAGCAATCGAGCTTCGTCATGTGTCTCCTCGGTCCTCCGATTCGTAAGCTCCTCGTTCCCATTCCTGCGTTGTGCGTCGATCGCGGCGTGGATTTCGCTGGTCGCGACCCCGTTGTCGCTCGTTCGAGTCGCGTCAACGGTCACATCACAGCTTGTGCAGCATGACGTGGCTCCACGTTGTTCGCTGCTCACAGATTCCCGAAAATGCGGATCTGAGCCAGAGGGAATGGAATCGATATCACTTTCAGCCACTTCGTTGCTGCGAAGGGTAACAGCGCCGTCTCGTGAAGCATGCAAGCTCTCGCCGTTTCGTGAAGCACGCGAACCGTTTTCCACCTCCAAAAGCGTCGTCCCGTCGTTACAAGGATCACTGAAGATGTCACTGCTGACGTCGGATTCCTTCACGAGTTCCGGCTTACTATCTTCGACAACGGAACTTAATTCGCCAACCATGTCGCACCAATTGCGAATTATAATCGCTTCTTACATTGAAAATCGGACTAAAACATGGATCCAAGCCAGAGAATCCCTCCAAGAGACGTGCCAACAAGTCTAGTAGCTACGAAAGCAGAACGAGAATGAACCACGCTGATCGCCTGACCTCTTCGTGACAGATTATCCATAGATGATGGTTCTCTGACCATCCGAGGAATTTATTTTCAGAGAGCTTTGAGAAAGGAGGTGCATGCGGAGCTCAGGAAATGGCGGGAAAGGAGACTGTCAGAAGTGTCAGTGTACGAGGAGGACCAGGAATTTCCCACACTGGAATTCAAATTAGTCACGTATAATGGTATTTTGCGAAACCATTCGAGCAATGTTCCTGCTAGTAGAGCACATTTACTTGTATGATTTGAGAAATCGATTCTGTAGATGATTGCGCAAAACCTTTCCCAAGGCGCTCTCGTTTGTTGTATAAGCAGGCTGTGTATCCCTCTGAGCACCGCTTTGAGCCGTAGGGAACCCAACAAAACCGTGATATGCGAATTCAGAGCACTGCGAACTTCTCTCAGCTTCAGATCCTCTGTTGTTTCAAACTGATTGAGCTGTCTCATTCAGCTTCGGTGCTCGCTTCCCAATCCATTGGGAACGTCAAATGCGTTGCACTGACAAACAGCTGGTCCCGCCATGGTTGCCGTTTCACGAGTCATGAATTCGCGCGCGATTCAGGTCAGGGAATTCAGCCACGTTTCGCTTAGAACGCTTATCACCGCACCTCCCTCTCAGGCTCTTAGTCTACGCTGTAGACCGTGTTCGAGCGTTCTAATGACAGCACCTTTTGCTGAAGTCACCTCGGTCACAAGCACTCGGCTCAAAGTCAGCTCATTAGATGCCAACCGTCAGATATCCGTTTTGCATGCTGACGTGTACACCTCGCGCTTCATTGGCCCAGGAAAACCCCTGAGGTTCTCAACGAATCCGCGTTTAGGTCGATCTGATCCGTTGAGTCACCTCCGTTACACTCACGTTACTGATCCCAGGATGGATTCGGCGAAATCAGCTGCAGCGTCTCGATATCTAAACATCAGATGCTATTCCGGTCAAGCAGACAATGCCTCATCAGGCATTTTGTCATCAGGCACTGGCTCGGTAGCAGGCATTGGTTCGGCAGCACAAAATGGCTCGGCAGCAGGCAGTGGGTCGGCAGCAGGCGACGCAGCAGGCGATGGATCAGGCGACGGACTGAAGGGTTTGAACGAGGAGCAGCGAGCAGCGGTGGTGGCATCGCCACACGGCTGCGTGCGCGTGGTGGCTGGTCCTGGATCCGGCAAGACCCGCGTGCTCACACACAGGGTCGTGAATTTGATCAAGAACCTCGGAGTGCACCCCCGTAAGATACTGGTAAGCTGGCTGGTCGCATGAATTCTGAAATTGAAAGAACCTAAAAGACATTCTGAACTGTATACACTTATTAAAATGCTGCCGGGATGACCCTTAGTGGCAATTATGGGGGGTTGTTTTCGTTTTTGAAGTTTGCTGACGTTCCGTTTTGGCCTGTGCCTGTGCCTGTTCCTTTGCATGTGCCTGTGTCTGCAGTGTATCACCTTCACCAACAGAGCAGCCAATGAGCTTGTGACACGTCTCCAGGACCTCCTGTCTCCCGAGGCTGCTGCAGCTGTCCATGTGAGTCACGCTGGTTACCACATTCGTCACTATTACCACAGTTACCCCATTCGTCACAGTTACCACACTCATCACAGCTACCACAGTTACCGCAATTTTTCTTATCTTATGTGCTACTGCCTGTCTCTTGAGGGACGTCATGCTCCACTTCTAATGACGTTCCCCCCTGCACGCTTCAAATGCTCTCTGCTTGGCTCTATGTCTGGTTGGTTTGCTCTTTCTGGTTGGCCCCTCTCTTTGTGCTTGGGATGCATGCAGGTGGGGACCTTTCACGGCATTGCAGCTCGCATTCTCAGGCACGAGATGCTTCCCTCTCTTCGCAACCGAAGGTGAGTAAGGGTGGCGAGGGTGTACACTGGTTTTTGTTTTCTTTTCTTTTGTTGCAATGCGTATGTGATTTTCTTTCCTTTTTACTATAGTTATATCACAAATTATCACCCTTTTTCCTCGAATGTCAATGTTTCGCCCTGGTGCTCTCAAGCGCCTCTCTTTGCCCATTCGCCTTTATCTGCCTGCCTGCAGATGCTACAGGGACTACACCATATATGACGAGGATGATTCACTGCGAGTGATAAAGGAGATTGATAAGCAGGTGAGACCACATCTCGGGGTCCATCCATGCAATAAATACATGAACCCACGAACACATGGATCCATGAATTTATATTACCATAAGCCTGTGAATCCAGAATCCCATGGACTTATAAACCCATGAACCCTGAACCCAAGACCCGTTCCCTCTATCCATCTCATCCTTTCAATCCCCTGTTCACCCCAGGAGAAAGAAAGGCTCGCTAAGATCATCCCATATCAGCCAGGGAAATCCAATTCAGCAGCAGCAGGAGGAGCAGCAGCAGGAGCCAATCCGGACGGCCTATACGAGGCCATGTCACATCTCTCTCTCCAATCAGGCGACGCCACGTCAGCAGCACAGGCAGCAGTGGCAGAAGTGCTGGGGGATAGAGGGGGTGGGGGAGCGGGAGGAGATGGGGTAGACGGGGATAAGGAGGGAAACCGGTTGAAAAATATAAGGGATGCGGTGTTGAGGTATAAGGAGGGGGGGATGAAAGAGGACATGAGGGGGAGAGTGGGGGAGAGGAGGAGAGGGAGGTTCGAAGGGGAGTTGAGCATAGGAGGCTCCATTCCCAGATACGCGAAGCTGTACGAGGTGAGATTGGAGTATAATATCGCACACTGTTATAATGGTGTTGCGCATGACGAGGTGAGATGGGAATGATGTTTTGCACACTGTTACTAAGGTGTTGCGCATGACGTGAGGTGGGATGCGTTTTGGGTCAACCTTGAAATCGTTTGGCTGCATTCCCAGATACGCCAAGGTGTATGAAGTGAGATTGTAAGAAATCGTTTGTATGGGTATACACAGAGAGTTTAAGGTGAGGGATGGTGTATTAGTGAGCACGTATCTTTCATCCGTCTTCCCCCCCTCTGCACTTCTCGCCCTCCCTGTCCCTGTCAGGAAGAGCTGAGGTGCAGCAACGCGTTGGATTTTGACGACCTCACACACTTCCTCCTCGGCCGCTTCCACTCTCAACCTTTGAAGCGGCTCAAAACCCCTCCTTTCCGTGCTTCCTGAGCTCCCTGGTTCACTTCCCGCCTTCCCTGTCCCTGTCAGGACGAGCTGAGGCGGAGCAACGCGTTGGACTTTGACGACCTCACACACTTCCTCCTCGACCTCTTCCACACCCAGCCCCACGTGCTCAAGGTGAGCTCTCTATGATATGCTCTCTCACGGAGGCTTTCAATCAGTACACCTGATTTTGACCACCTCACACATTTCCTCCTCGACCTCTTTCACTCTCAGCTGCACGTGCTCAAGGTGAGCCCGCGTGCAAGGTGCGGATTTGTGCATCTTTCTGTCGCCCATCCACGCATTTCCTCCTCGGCCTCTTTCACACGCAGCCCCATGTGCTTAAAGCTCAAGTATACATTTGTCAGTGGGGTTTCGGGTTTTACAGTGTGCCTCACGGTTTTGCCCCAACGTTCAAGTTCCTAAGGATTTTGAATCCCAAAAGCCCCCCTCTTCTTTTCAATGTTCAACTTTTTACATGTTCACAGAAGCCCCCCTCTTTACAATGCTATCAATGTATACAGAAGCCCCCCTCTTTACAATGCCATCAATGTATACAGAAGCCCCCCTCTTTACAATGCTATCAATGTATACAGAAGCCCCCCTCTTTACAATGCTATCAATGTATACAGAAGCCCCCCTCTTTACAATGCTATCTTATGGGAGATGATGTGTTGGTGGCTATTGAGTCGACTAAAATTCATGTGTTGGTGGTTGGTGCTCAGAATGAGGTTCCCCCTTTTCAGTGCTGTGCTTTCTTATGGAAATGCTTTCGTACAATGCTGCACGTTTGTGAGCCCCTCCGACATGCCCCTCCCTCCGACATGCCCCTCCCTCCGACATGCCCCTCCCTCCGACATGCCCCTCCCTCCGACATGCCCCTCCCTCCGACATGCCCCTCCCTCCTGCATGCCCCTCCCTCCCGCATGCCCTGCCCCTCCCTCTCACGTGCCCCTTCCACGTGCCCCTCTTGTTGCTACTGGCAGAAATACCAAGAGCGCTTTCAGCATGTGTTGGTGGACGAGTTTCAGGACACGGATTCGGTGAGTGGGATAATGAGACGTGTCGCAATATTGAAGCGAGGTAGGGAATAATGAGGCTACCAGTCTCTGGTATCACGGCAGGTTTCAGCATGTGTTGGTGGACGAGTTTCAGGACACGGATTCGGTGAGTGGGCAGCGTTGCAGCACCTCTCAACTCCCCTGCTTTCTCCCTGCTTCTCTGTCGTCTCCCTCTCCTCCAGTTCCAGTACGAGATAGTGCGGCTACTGACACTCAACTCCAAGCGCCTGTTCGTTGTGGGGGACATTGACCAGGTGCGACCAGGTGCGACCAGGTGCGACCAGGTGCGACCAGGTGCGACCAGGTGCGACCAGATGCGACCAGGTGCGACCAGGTGCGACCATGTGCGGCCAGGTGCGACCAGGTGCGATCAGGTGCGACCATGTGCGACCAGGCGGGGCTTGTTGACTAAGTGTGACGTTTTGATTACATTTGATTGGATTCAAAGTTTCTGTTTGTTATGGGAGACTCCTAATCGAGTCCCCAACTGCATGCTTCGTCACTCTCGCCTCCGGCCTTTGCTTGCTCCTGTCTTATCCACACGTTTCGTTTTGTCATTTCTTACATGGGTCCACCCATCATTTCTTACATGGGTCCACCCATCATTTCTTACATGGGTCCACCCATCATTTCTTACATGGGTCCACCCATCATTTCTTACATGGGTCCACCCATCATTTCTTACATGGGTCCACCCATCATTTCTTACATGGGTCCACCCATCATTTCTTACATGGGTCCACCCATCATTTCTTACATGAGTCCACCCATCATTTCTTACATGGGTCCACCCATCATTTCTTACATGGGTCCACCCATCATTTCTTACATGGGTCCACCCATCATTTCTTACATGGGTCCACCCATCATTTCTTACATGGGTCCACCCATCATTTCTTACATGGGTCCACCCATCATTTCTTACATGGGTCCACCCATCATTTCTTACATGGGTCCACCCATCATTTCTTACATGGGTCCACCCATCATTTCTTACATGGGTCCACCCATCATTTCTTACATGGGTCCACCCATCATTTCTTACATGGGTCCACCCATCATTTCTTACATGGGTCCACCCATCATTTCTCTGTCGTTGCATGTGCGCACAACATGGCATGGCAGTGCATCTATTCCTGAAGGGGGGCAGGGTACCACTACCTGCAGCGGCTTCCTGCCTGCCTGCCTGCCTGCCTGGTTGCTCACTTGTTACCCTCCCTCCCTTCCTACCTTGTGTGCATGGTATGGCAGTGGATCTACTCCTGGAGGGGAGCAGAGTACCACTACCTGCAGCGGCCGCCTGCCTGCCTTATTGGTTACTTGATACCCCCCCCCCCCCTCTCCCAATTGCGTGCGCACAACATGGCATGGCAGTGCATCTACTCCTGGCGCGGAGCAGAGTACCACTACCTGCAGCGGCTTTTAGACGAGGACTTTGATGACGTCACCACGCTGCAGGTGAGTGAGTGACTGAGTGAGTGCGGGAGTGTGAGTGAGGGTGTGCGATCGAGTGAGTGAGCGAGCGAGTGAGTGAGTAAGCAAGACCCACGTCCCCCACCTCACCACATCATGAGTAAGCGAGTGAGGCCACCCGTGCATGGTGGGTGGAATCAGCTTGCACTAATACTCCCATGCTGCCAATCTTGTTCTCACTTCTTTTGAGTCGACTCAAAAACACCACATCGTTTGAGGCCACCCGTGCACGGTGGGTGGAATCAGCTTGCACTAATACTCCCATGCTGCCAATCTTGTTCTCACTTCTATCACTGAAAGTAGTAATCACTGTCTCTAATGTTTCTTGTATCCCCCCCGTCCCCTCCCCTCCACACCCCCCTCTGTCCACTTGTACCCCGCCCTTCAGCTTCGCAGCAACTACCGGTCATCCCAGAGCATCCTGCAGGCAGCAAACCGCGTGATTCAAGGCTGCTCCTTTCCCCACGTGTCGGCCAAACTCCCCCACACTCCCACCCCCACTCCTCCACACCCACCAGCTTCGCAGCAACTACCGGTCATCCCAGAGCATCCTGCAGGCAGCAAATCGAGTGATTCAGGGCGGACCCAGGGACAGGCGCGTTGGGGGAGGCACCCTGGAGCTCAAACCAACCAAGGTGTGGAGCGTGAGGGGACGAGGATAAGGGGGTTAGACGGAGAGAGGGTGCTCTGGGATTGAATGAGTGCGTGCGAGGGAGCAGGCAGCCAAGTGAGTGATTCAGTTCAGGGCGGGCCCAGGGATAGGCGTGTTGGGGGTGAGGCACTCTGGAGCTGAAACCAACGAAGGTGAGAGGTATGAGGGGGTAAGGGAGGGAGGAGGGCAGAGGCAGCACGATGGCTAAATGGATGGACGCTGCTATTCTCGACCATAGTGGCCCTGCTGCCACTGCCAATGATCTCGATGCTGGTGCTGATGCTGTAGGTGCTGCTGCTGCTGATGTTGCTGGTGCTGATGCTGGTGGGAGCACTGACAGCGTCAGCACTTCCAGTGCAGATAGCACCTCTGTCTGGTAAATGCACAACCGGAGCAGAAGCAGTACTAGCTGATGTGAGTGCAGCGGATGTGAGTGCAGTGGATGTGACTACACGGATGGAGTGGCCCGCACCCGGGACTGCAGCTCCAGTCCCGCACCGGGGACTGCAGCTCCAGTCCCTCACCCGGGACTGCAGCTCCAGCCACGCACCCGGGACTGCAGCTCCAGTTCCCCACCCGGGACAGCAGCTCCAGTCCCGCACCGGGGACTGCAGCTCCAGTCCCTCAATGACTAAGGATTTTCATATCCCTCTCTCTCCCTCCTCATTACCCCTGTTTCCGTCCACCCACTTCCCCTCAGCCCCCAGGCCATCCGGTGTTCTTCTCCTTCTTCCCCTCGTGCGCCAGTGAAGCCGCAACAATTGCTGAGGAGATAGAGAGTCTGGTCGACCCCGCTGAGCTGTCCCCCTGGCGGGGGCAAGCAGGCGCGAGGGGGGGCGCGGGGGGATGGGCGAGGGGAGGGGCGGGGGCAGGGGGAAGGGCATGGGCGGGGGGAGGGGCGAGGGAGGGGGCAATGGGACGGGCGAGGGCAGGGGAGGGCGGAGGGGCGAGGGGAGGGGGAATGGGAGGGGAGATGGAAGGGGAGGTGGGAGGGGAGGGAGCAGGGGCGAGTGGGGGCTATGCATGGAAGGACTTTTGTGTGCTGTACCGCACACACGCTCAGGCCGTGCAGCTGCAACAGGGGCTGGCGGACCTCGCAATTCCATGCATTGTCGTGGGCGGGAGCACTCTGTTCCAGAGGAAGGTGGGTTGCTGCTTTGATGTGCCTCGTGTTGCCTGGGGGCCAAGGCATCTCAGCCAAACAACGCTCCAGCAGGGGCTGGCGGACCTCGCCATCCCATGCATCGTTGTGGGAGGGAGCACGCTGTTTCAGAGGAAGGTGGATGCTGCCCCCTCGTTTCCGAAGGAGTGAGAAGCTGTGGTGGTTAGGGACCTGATAGCGTACATGAGAGTGGTCGCCAAATCAGCAGACAGTGTTGTTGCTCATCCCACCCTCACTCCCCTGCCCTCTGCTCCCTCCAATCCCTCCCCCTCGCAGGTGGTGAAGGATCTCATAGCATACATGAGATTGGTCGCCAGTCCAGCAGACAGTGTTGCACTGGGTCGGATATACAACACGCCCTCCAGAGGTATTCCTGTGTTTACCCTCGGGGACTTACGGTGTTTACCCTCGGGGACTTACGGTGTTTACCCTCGGGGACTTACGGTGTTTACCCTCGGGGACTTACGGTGTTTACCCTCGGGGACTTACGGTGTTTACCCTCGGGGACTTACGGTGTTTACCCTCGGGGACTTACGGTGTTTACCCTCGGGGACTTACGGTGTTTACCCTCGGGGACTTACGGTGTTTACCGTGCAGGGGTATTATGTTTTTCTCCTCTATGGATAGTCTGGTGTTTACCTGAAAAAGTTGTCCTCCGTGTTTTTTATTTTTATATTTGTTTTTTTCCACTTCACCTGCCTTCCCCCCACCTCCTTCTTCCTCTAGAATCTTCCTCCCTCCCATTCCTTCTCCAACTCCCCCCTTCCTTGCCCATGGGGGCCTGAGCGAAGTCATGGGCCATCGACAAGCCAAGTCACTGGTGCAGCAGTGGTTCGGACCATTGACACTCCCTTTCTCCCTCATTACTTGTCCTCCCCTCTGTACCTCTCTGCACCTCTCTTTCTTCCTCATCACTCCCGTCCTCTCTACCTCCACCTTGCCTCCCTTGCACCATGCAGGCCTGGGGGCGAAGTCATGGGCGACAGTGCAGCAGTGGGCTCAGGGCCTCGACTCCCCCACGGGCACTGCAATCCTGGTACTCGTGCATCTGCACGGCCTGTCTTTCATCCATTCGTCCATCTTCCATGCATCCTCTTGCCATCGTCCATGCATCCTCTTGCCATCCTTCTTATGTTGAAAATTCCCTTCTTTTCTCCCTCCTATCTTGCAAACCCCATTCTCCACTCTCCCATCCTCCATCCTCCCCTCCTCCACCCTCCCACTTCACTTCAGATCCATGCATTGTCCAGGAACTAGCAGCATGCCAATTGCTTTCCTCCCATTGCTTTCCCATCATCCACACTCCCATACTCCACACTCTCCCATCCTCCACATTCTCCATCCTCCACTCTCCCATCCCCTACTCTCCCATCCTCCACACTCTCCCATCCTCCACACTCTCCCATCCTCCACTCTCCCATCCTCCACTCTCCCATCCTCCACTCTCCTATCCTCCACTCTCCCATCCCCTACTCTCCCATCCCCCACTCTCCCATCCTCCACTCTCCTATCCTCCACTCTCCCATCCCCTACTCTCCCATCCTCCACTCTCCCATCCTCCACTCTCCCATCCTCCACTCTCCCATCCTCCACTCTCCCATCCTCCACTCTCCTATCCTCCACTCTCCCATCCCCTACTCTCCCATCCCCCACTCTCCCATCCTCCACTCTCCTATCCTCCACTCTCCCATCCCCTACTCTCCCATCCTCCACTCTCCCATCCTCCACTCTCCCATCCTCCACTCTCCCATCCTCCACTCTCCCATCCTACACTTTCCCATCCTCCACTCTTCCATCCCCCACTCTCCCCATCTTCCACTCTCCCATCCTCCACTCCTATCCTCCACTCTCGCATCCTCCACACTCTCCCATCCTCCGCTGTCCAATTCTCTACTCTCCTCCACTTCCCATCACATTAATTTGACTAGGAACTAGCACTGGGCAAGCATGCAGACAACCCTCCTTCCATCTCCAAAAAGGCCAGGTCAGAAAACAGCCTTTCTCTTTTATCCGGTGCAATTGTTCGTTCTTATTGGTCTGATTCACGTACAAAGCTTCACATTTCTAGTCTCTGTTGTTTCCTAGTTCACATCAGTTGATCTGTAACAAGCGCTTTGATCAAGGAACTTTTATATCCACCCACATCCCCTCCCTCTGTCTCTCCTCGTGTCTCAGGGAGAACCCTCTCAGCTTCGCACACCTCATCCTCTCCTTCCGTACTGCTGTAGGCACAGTGGATGGCGACAACTCAACTCTGAGTGCTTCGAGTCTTGATGGGAACAAAAAAAAGGGAGGGAAGGGGCCGAACCTGAACCTGTGTGTTCCACCACCTACATCCCCTCCCTCCCTCTGTGTCCCGTCCTGTATTATGTCTCAGGGAAAATCTCCTCAGCTTCGCACACCTCATTCTCTCCTTCCGTACTGCTGTAGGCACAGTTGATGGCGACAACTCAAGTCTGAGTGCTTCGAGTCTCAGTGATTCGAGTCTTGATAAATCAAGTCCCGGTGATTCGAGTCTTGGTGATTCGGGGCTAAGTGGGAGCAGTGGTGTGACCGAAGGGCTGCCTCATGCGGGAGGGCTGCTGAGGACTATAGTGGATGTGTGAGTACAGGGAGAGGGTTGCATGCTTGTTAATTGAGGCACAGAGCAACAGCAGCAGCACAAAAAGTAGCAGCAGCACCGGTCTTCTTGAAGAAGCAATCATCAGCACATTTTTCACTCATCCTTTCCAATCTCTCTTTCAATACCTCTCGTCCAAACTTATTATAGTTCCTCTTCCCCATCCCTTTTCTCCACCCCTCTTCCCCACACCTCTTTTCCATACCTCTTTCCCATACCTCTTTCCCGTACCTCCTGTCGAGGCTCGAGTTGAAGCAGGAGTACAGCCCGGCAGCAGCAGCAAAGAGCCGGTTCCTGCTTGTTTATTCCTCTTCCCCATACCTCTTCCCCATACCTCCTGTTCAGGCTCGGGTTGAAGCAGGAATACAGCCCGGCAGCAGCAGCGGCAGCAGCAGCAAAGAGCCGGTCCCCCAACCCTGCTGCGTTGAGGCAGCGGCATGAGGAGGAGGGGAAGCGAGCTCTTGACCAAATGGAACGATTGCAGGTGGGTGTGATGGGAGGGTGGGTGGGGATTGATTGGTTTTTCTTGGTGGTGGGTGTGGTGGTGGGGGGGTTGTGGTGGGGGGGGGTGGGGGGCTGTATGGCGTAGTAACAGCACGGTTGAGAGGAGCTGAGAGGATTTATGGCAGTAATGGAAGGAAAATCCTGCCCGACCCTGCTCCCCGAGGAGATGTAAGGAGGATGAGAGAGGAGGAGGACGAGCTTATTTGAAGAAAACAGCCATAAGTGTAAGTAGAACGCTGCTTATAAATCGTGTTCTAATCCACTTCTGTAACTCGTTCCTTTGACCTTCCCGAACCTATTGCTGATACTGCAGGACTTGGCGAACAGGTTCGGCCCAACCTGTGGGGTTGGTATGGAGGGAGTGCGGAACTTTCTGGAACAGATTGCACTACTTTCAGGGGAGATGCACGAGTCTGGGGTGAGTCAATAACGAGTCTGGGGTGAGTCAATAATGAGTATGGGGTGAGTCAATTACGAGTATGGGGTGAGCTAAGAACGAGTATGGGGTGAGTCAATAACGAGTCTGGGGTAAGTCAATAACGAGTCTCGGGTGAGTCAATAACGAGTCTGGGTGAGTCAATAACGAGTATGGGGTGAGTCAATATCGAGTCTGGGGTGAGTCAATAACGAGTCTCGGGTGAGTCAATAACGAGTCTGGGGTGAGTCAATAACGAGTATGGGGTGAGCCAATAACGAGTATGGGGTGAGCCAATAACCTGTCCGGGCTCAGTCAATAGCGAGTATGGGGTGAGTGTGCAAATAGCAGTCAAGGGGTTCCACGCTGTTATATGATTCCTATAATTGTTTGTTTTCCTCTCTTCTTTCTTTCCGGTTGCAGCGAGGAATGCTGCAGCATTCCTAACCTATCCTCCTTCCTCCCTTCTTCTCCCTCCCGCCTCCTCGCTACAGGGAAAGGAAGCACTGCTGTCAGCCAATGCGGTGCGGCTGATGACCATCCACAAGGCCAGGGTTCTGGAGTTCCCGGTGGTGTTCCTGACAGGCATCTATCTCAATGCACCCTCACACACCCTCACACACCTACACATTGTTACTACCTGTGCTGCTTGTTCCCCTTGGCAGGGCAAGGAGGGACAGCTGTCAGCCAACGCTGTGCGGCTGATGACCATCCACAAGGCCAAGGGGCTGGAGTTCCCTGTGGTGTTCTGAGTGCTAGCTGCCACAACCCTACTCTATCCTCCTTTCGCTCCGCCTTCCTCTCTTTAGCATTCCCCCTCTTCATTGCAGGGCAAGGAGGCACAGCTATCAGCCAATGCTGTGCGGCGGATGACCATCCACTAGGCCAAGGGGCTGGAGTTCCCTGTGGTGTTCCTGACAGGCTTATTCCTCAACACACCCTCACACTGTGATACCTACTTCCCTTCCTCTGTCCTCCCTCCTCATTACAGGGCAAGGAGGGACAGCTGTCAGCCAATGCAGTGCGATTAATGACCATCCACAAGGCCAAGGGGCTGGAGTTCCCTGTGGTGTTTCTGACAGGCCTGTTTCTTTACACACTCTTCTGTCAATCCTCTCTCCATGACAGGAGCAAGGAGGGACAGCTGTCAGCCAATGCGGTAAGGCTGATGACCATCCACAAGGCCAAGGAGCTGGAGTTCCCTGTGGTGTTCCTCACATGCATCTCTATCAACACACCTTCACACACCTTCACACTGTTATATCCTTGCACTGCTCTCTCCCTTTCCAGGGCAAGGAGGGACAGCTGTCAGCCAACGCAGTGCGGCTGATGACCATCCACAAGGCCAAGGGGCTGGAGTTCCCTGTGGTGTTCCTGACAGGCCTGGAGAATCGAATCTTGCCGCTGATTCAGTATAGGAGGCGTGAGGAGGAGAGACCTGGGTGGGAGAGGGTTACTATAGGGACGGGGGGTAAGCATTCCCACCATCATCAGCAACAGCATAATCATCATCATTCTCATCAAAAGCAGCAGGTTGCGAGGAGAGGAGACTCTAGGGTACAGGGCGGGGGGGCGGAAAAGGAGGTTATGTTTGATGAAGAGGAGAGGAGACTTTGTTACGTGGCAATGACTCGCGCACAAGATCGACTGTAAGTGGCTACCTGTATTGTCGTCAATCCGAAATCCCATTTCTGTGGTCCCCTGTTTGTCTATGTTTGTATTTTTTTGAAGTATTTTTACTCGTTTACTCATTGCGCCACAGGTACTTGAGTGGTGCACAACAGCGCAGAGTTTATAGAGAAACCTTGCAATCATTGGAGCCGTCAGTCTTCCTTAACGGTCTACAGGATCTTGCACCGTTTCCAGGGAATATATAGGCCAAGGCGTCTTCGGTAACATAACGACTAGCAAATCACATTTCTTTATGTGGAAACATGTATTAAGATATACGCTCAGTCTAATTTTTCCCTTACCTTAATTTCGAAGCGTCCTCTGGTGCAACATATGTCAACCATTGGCAGTGAGTTCCCAAGGGCCCACCCATCACATCGCGCACATCAATCCATTCCCCCCTTCCTGACCTCGAAGTGACTACCTCAGTTGTCACAAGGCTTCATTACTTCCCGAGAATCGCGAACCACCTAATTTGCGTGAATTCGTAGCCTCCTATTGTCTTGCACATCTGTCAATTTCGCAAGCTCGAGCCGTCTCAAAACCCTGTTTGCATATTTTTACTCATGTGTAAGGAATTTACACCGAGAATCTCGTGACATCGAGGTTCTCGAAATGTTCGCCCTACGCGATTCTTTTTAGTTCCATTATTCATCTATCCGTCGCCATCGCTGATACCGCGCTGTCATTCTAATACGAGATTTTTGTAATTTCCGCAAATCGTTTTGCGGGTAACACGGTGTCCCGATTGTACCAAGCAGCAGCATAAGGTGACTATTGAGTCGCGCGAAGGCCTGCTGATTAGATTCAAGGTCAAGGTTAAGAAGCTGGTTAGCTTCTAAGCAGCATAAGCGTCGGGATACTGACGTGTCAGGAGCAACGGCAGCGGGAACTGACGGCTCGTTTCCGCAGGAGGGTTTAACGAAGAAGACGGCTTCAAAGCGGGAGAAAGAGTAAACGAAGAAGAAGGGTGAGAGAAGCGGTGCTGGACCAGAGAGAGACTCAGCGAATGGCGGGCGTTACCGATGCAGACACAATGAATCAGTCGCGAGATGCTGGGGAGATGGAGTCAAAGCGGGAGAAAGGGTCAAAGGTGAAGAAGAAGGAGAAGAAGGAGAAGAAAGAGAAGAAGCTGAAGAGCGGTGCGCTGAATGGTGGATCAGACGAAGCAGTGGAGAGCGTCGCGGCTGCAGAAGCGGGGAGACAGTCGCAGCCACCAGAGGAGAAGGGGAATAAGGGAGAGATGGAGGAGGGTATTCGGGAGAAGGGTGATCGGAAGAAAGGGTCAAAGCGGGTGAAGGGAGCGAAGCTTGAGAAGGAGTCAAATCGCAAGGGATGCGCTGAGGCTGCTGCCGCAGAGGAGCAGTCAAAGCAGAAAAAGGTGTCAAAGCGGGAGAGGGAGTCAAATCGGGGAAAGGAATCGGAACGGAAGAAGGCATTGAGTAGCGGCGGTAATGCAGATGAGTCAGCGACAGATGGTCAGGATACAGCAGCAGGTGCCAAGGAGGCAGCAGCGGAGGCAGAGTGTCGAGCTGAAGGGTCTAAGCGGGCGAAGAAGGGGTCAAAGCGGAAGAGATCTGCGAGTGGCGACGTGGACGCTAGCAGCGGCGGAGATGAGGCTGTGGCAGGGATGGAGGCTGCAGCAGAGGTGGAGCAGTCAATCGGAAAGGAGAAAAGGAAGAAGGCGAAGCGGGAAGGAGCCGTGCGTGATGGGTCTGCCAATGAGGCAGCTGATGGTGTTACGGTTGCAGCAGAAGCGGAGCAATCACCTGAGAAAAAGAAAAAGAAGAAGAAGCAGAAACTGGCTGTGCGTGAGGGGGCGAATGAGGCAGCTAATGAGGCAGCTGCAGGTGATAATACTGGAACAGAAGCGGAGGAATCACGTGTGAAGAGGAAGAAAAAGAAGTCGAAGCTGAAAGGAGCTGTGGATAACGGGGTTGTTAGTGAGGCAGTGACAGGTGCTGGTGTTTCAGCAGAGGAGTTGCAAGCACATGGGACGAAGGAAGAGACGAAGGAAACGAAGACGAAAGAAAAGAAAAAGTCAAAACGGAAACGGACTGATGAGGGTGTTGCCAGTGAGGCTGCTGCAGGTGATGATGCAGCAGCAGAAGCAGAGCAATCACGTGTGGGGAAGAAGAAGAAAAAGAAGAAGTCGAAGCGGGAACGAGCTGCTAGAGGTGGGGTGAAGGAGGAAGAGAGAGGTGCTGAGTTTGCAGAGGAACTTCTTCAGGAGCATGATGCATCGTTACCAGGTGGTTCAGAGGTGGCAGCAGCAGAGGAAGGGTCTCAGGTGAAGGGGAGGAAAAGGGAATCAAAGCAAGAAAAGGGGTCAAAGCGGGAGAAGGCGAAACAGAAGAGAGGGGATAACGGTATCGAGGAAACCAGCAGCATC